TATATAAGAAGAGGGCGTACCATATTGATCTGTCATTGATCTGTATCATATTGATATATAGGCTGTGTCTGTGGGTGTGTCATTATAAACTGATATATTTCAAAATTCAGAATAAAAATCCTGATCAACCAATTCACCTTCTGACATGTCAAGTGCAATCTGTTTCACATCATTTAAAATTGTTTCCTGAGTGTCTTGAAGTTTGTTCATTTTTCTCACAAACTCCTCTCTTTTCTCACTCTCCATAATCAGTATCAGTCCTGGTACCAACCCATCAAGCATGACATTAAAATCTTGAAAATTTCCAGTAATATCGCATTTCTGAAGAAACTTTTTCCAATTTTTCATTTCTGCTACCTTTTGAAGGAATGCATTAATATCTTCTATGCATTTTTTTAGTTTTTTCAATGCATCTAAGAACCTTTCATAGTCATGGTTACTAGATGAAAGGTTTTTTTTGGCCAATTGAATCGGTTCATTTAATAATTTTACTCTCTCTGCCAACAAGTTGGAGGATTTTTTGAATGATTTTACTTCCTGAGCAATATCATAGCATCTTTCAGAAAGAGATAATACTGCTGTAATGATTTCAAATGGATTCATTGCAACCACCTGAAAATTTGAAAAAAAAAAAAAATGTTTTTTAGAAAAAAAGAACAATAATTTGGCCTAAAGCTTCACTAACAAATTCAAATAAACATTTATTTCTTCACACGGTGCAATTAAAAATAATAAAATTAAACAATCGGACTTCATTTTAAAAAGAAGAATTGTGTGAAAAAGGACACTGTTCAAAAAGTAAATGCCAAATGAAAAAAAGACCACTTATCAAGTAGCACTTGCAGCGAGCGACCCGTAATTAAGAAAGCATAAATGTTGTTAATTAATTCATATACGAAACAAATACAAAAACAAAACACAGATACTACACGAAGCAGATACTGGATAATGTTTAAACAAAAATATGTCAACATTATTTAGAGCGACGTTCCGCAAACTATGGTTCGTGGCCAAAATTTGGACTGCGAAACATTTTTGGAGGGCTGGGAAGCCGTCTGGAAATTGAAAAAAAAAATAACAGACTTTTTATCAAGGAGAAAATAGTTTTTAATAAAGCCGCTTCATTGTTACAGTGAATGCGCTGCTTGCAGACGCTGCTAAAGTGCCAGATGATGCGTGCTATTTGAGTTATAAGCGGTTTTTGTGTCTATGCCCCCTCGGGAGCCTTTATCTGTAGGCCCCTATAGGCCTATTTATTCCTGTTAGTATAGTATGCAACATTATTTTATATAAATAAATATACTGTAAATATACCTCTTTTTTAAGACCATGTTAGGGACTTGAAATTGTGGTTTAGTCTCCAACATTAGAGCATTTGCTTTGTATTGATGAAAGTATAAAGATCGTTGGTACAGTACTGCAAAAAAGTGATCTCAAATTGGAGGGAGGGGTATAGGATTGACCGTAAAGATAAAGTTCTCAATTGGCAGTGTAACGTACCCAGGATTCAAGATTTAAACAAAGATACAATAATGTTGATGAGAGGCTATAGACTTTGAAAATCGTCATTAATTTAAAATAAAAGCTATACCTGAGTGATTCTAGTAATGTTATATTTTATCTCATCAGAAAACTGATCTGCAAACTGCAGGATCTTCTTGCGCCCCCGGTGATAGGCGGCTAAACGAAATGTCGATTGTATATTCCACTTTCTCCGAAGCTGGAAAGCGCTGGCCATTCGGGCAGGAACATATGCACCTCGAGGTCCATATTCTCAAAACTTTCAAACCTGAGCCCCAACCATTGGCAAATTAATATTTGGTTAACAATGGGATGTTTTCGAAGCAGGACGGCAACGACGCCATGATTGATACATAGGCGTACACGTCACAACATGACTGGCTAAAGTTTCAAGACTGTACTGTGATCATTCATTTCTACTTACCAATCCAATCAGTGTTTTAGTAAATTATTATAAAAAGTAAATAACTTACAATAATTATAACAGCCCGTATTTCTGAATAGCGTCAATACAAGACAAGTTGATTTGCTTCCTGCCGGGAACAATTACACCTAGCCTAGATGATTGGCGGAAATTTGGGGAAATCCCCATTGTTACCCAAACGTGACGTCACAATCAGTTGCGTTTTTGATACGATAAAAGTTGCTGTAAGGATCGAAGCAACTGATTTGGTACTGTCTGGTAAAGGTCAGTTCAAGGTGTGCGAAGGGAGAGTATGAAACCCCACCCCTCCCACACCCAATTGGAAAAGGTCCATTTCTTCTTTTTAAGACAGTCGAGAACGTAGTATTACATAGGATTATTAGGGAATCTACATTTAACCATGCAACCTATCGTTGGCCATATGATATAGTATTTGCTATATGCGCCACCCCCCCCCCCATATCTTAGTTGGTCCATTTTTGCACACCCCGCACATCCCCTCACCCAGGGGCGGATGCAGACGGTGCAATCGCAACCTCTCCCCCTAAATTGTATTAATAAATGTAATTGTGTATTTGCATTCTTGATATATTATTGTCATCATTAAAAATATAGTGCCGACAGTATAGAAATGCAATTTCCGGCCACCTTGAGGTCCATATTCTTAAAAAAAAAACAGCTGTTTTTAGGAGGTCGTGCGCCCCATGCGCACCCTAGATACGCGCGCCACTGCGCCGTTGTATGTTCATATCTTCTGCTTAATCTCACAATGCACTGTATTCTACAAATCAATCCATATTACTTGAATCTAACGAGAGGTACAGTAATATAATTTTTAAATTATACACTGTAGATCGGTTGCTTGTGCCAAAGTTCATAGTGAAATACTTTATAAAAGTCAAGGTCGTCACAACCACATAATTGAAAAGTACGAAATAGTAGAGTATATTCATTCGAAATATAATTTTATTATCCATAAGTGTACATATATGCAAATTTCTTTCAAATCATACATATAAAATAATCATTTTTATAACAGTAACATTTATCTTAGGCTGAATATAATAAATAACATAAGGGTAAGATTAGAAAATACAATTATTATTATTTTATTAGTATATTTTCAAGAATATTAATATAATACTCCAGAAAAAAATAAGATGAAATTACTTGAATATAATTACGGTATATGATTGTTGGATATTTTTGTCTCTGAACTTTAAGTTAACAGATAAAAAGGGCAGTCTTCACATGTTTAGACTATACTGACAGTACATGCAATAATGAGATAGCTACCATCTTAATATCTCCATCGTAATTAATATAAATTATTCACATGCAAAGAAAAAGGCGCGGTACAAAATGCTAGAGTTCCTATATAGACAGAGTTGTGACATGAGCCACTAGTGGGACGTTATATTGGGCCCATTGTATGCATGAATGAAGGCAATGCCTATGCTAAAGTGTGTCAATTGAATATATAATATGCAATTGAAAAAAATAAAATAATAATAGCAAAATTTTATGTCATTTGATAGTTTGTTTGTAACAAAATTCACAAAAGAAATGGATTCTCAATAGGATATTATAATTAATTATATTACATGTAGTTTTTGCTTGACGCATATAGCATAGACGTACATCATTGCATTTGTTTAGCTCTAAAAACAATAGGCAACTAGGCCTTGGCCTCTCACACACAGGACAACTGAAATTTGTATAGTAAACGGATGTTTGTGGCAAGCGTCTAGCTAAGGTCTCAGTCTTAGCGTATCTCCAAAGTATACAATGAGAAATCGTCAAGTCATACGGTAACTGAAACAGACTTCTACTAGCTAGGCCTAGTTTAGTAGCACTACGATGCGTAGTCCAGTACTAGTACTGAGGCCTATTTAATACACTAGATAGGCTCTTCTTTTCCCATCTTGAATTCAGAAATCGAAACAATTTTGTTGGTTTTGATTGGACAGTGATTCATCTATAGTACACTTTTGTTAGTATTGATTGGATATTGATTCATCTATAGTATACTGTTGTTAGTTTTGATTGGCCAGTGATTCATCTATAGTTCACTGTTGTTGGTTTTGATTGGCCAGTGATTCACTGTTCACTGTTGTTGTTGGTTTTGATTGGCCAGTGATTCATAGTTCACTGTTGTTGTTGGTTTTGATTGGACAGTGATTAATCTATAATTTACTGTTGGTGGTAACAGCAGCTGTGGCATCCTGCATAGAGGGGAATCCACCTTCAAATGCATCTTGCAAAACATCTTCCAAACGTTTGGCAAATGAAAACTGCATGTTCTTCTGCAAAATTCAAAATATAAACACTGAGGGTAAATGTAAAGAAATTAAAAGTAGACAGACTGCAGTGTAAGCAATCAGTGTACAAAGAGAATGTTGCATAGTCCTGATTGCAAATGTTACTCCCCTAGTTAGGAAGTTTAGTGGAAGTGCGCCTGCCTCAATGATATGGTGATAAAAAGAAAGAAGTAAATCTACAAAAGTATTGTATCATGTGGTAAACACAAACTATCAATTATTTAACCCATCAATCTCTCACTGAAACCTTCCTACCAAAAAATATCTCATACATCAATCTATTTGCATGTCGAATGGCTGAGGAGTTAAGATGGGGGTGTTGCAAAGTACAGCTATAATATCGGCGCTGGTTTAAACGGCATGCTCGCCTATGGTTCTGGTGGTGGATCAAGATAAGGACTACAAACTCACTGTAGGCCCAATGTACACAATTTGGACTGGTGTACTTTAAAGAACCCAGTACATATTTTGAGACAAGTAAGGGGTTGCCCCAGTATAACTGGTTCATACAGCCCCTGTTTTGGATATGACAAGAGATAGCTGGTACTGGTTTGCTTGGTAACTCAGACATTAAGAGACACTTACGGAAGTAGCAAGTTATTGAGGTCCACACCTCGAGCGCTTTGAGACTTCAGTATATAAATCCAACTACATTATATTACATCATTCATTCAAACAATTAATATATCGGTATTGTTATTGGTACAGTCATTTATAATGCGCCTGGTTATAAAGCACAGTTCTTTTCCCTGGTCATTGGGTCCACATGCTAAGTGTTGCTGGTGGTAATCAGCGCAGGAGCAGGTAACCCCACCAGGCACCCATTTATACTCCTGGGTGGAGAGAAGCAATGCAGATTAAGTGTCTTGCTCAAGGACACAAGCGAAATGCACAGCAAGGAATTGAAACCCCGATCTCGAGGTTGGGAAACCAAATCGTTCCCGCTGCGCCAAACCGCTTCCATCAATCAATATACCAATCAATCAATCAATCAATCAATCAGGAAATACAATAAATCCATCCATTAAATTCACAAGACTCAAGGCACCATTAAGAAGGTAGTGAAAGAAATTGATTATCAAATGTCAATGGGATTGTCTCCCGGTGTACTGCCCAATCACCACCAGAAGGACCCCACTGGAAATAAGTCTTCTTCTAGACTTTCGTGGATTATCCTTGGTGTTTACACCGAATAAATCCAATTCAATCCAACTGACATACAATAATAAGTAAGATAAACCAATCATTTGTGTGATGTCACATGTGCAGATTCAAACAGATTACCTGGATATTTTGAGGCACTTCAATTAAATCCTTCTCATTACGTTTGGGGATAATTACTCGCTTTATACCAGCCCTATGTGCAGCCAATACCTTCTCTTTAATACCACCAACCTGGAAAGAACAATTATAACATTAGCCTATGGTAAATATAATAGTAGGATATTTCTAGAGTGCCTTCCACAATTCAATTGTCTCAAGGCACTGACAGTAACCAGACCACAAAACATATTGAAAAACAAAAATAAATAAATAAATACAATTATGAAAATAAATAAAAAATATAATAAAATAAACAAACAAGCCGTTTAAATAATGAAATGAGACGGCCGCAAAAAATGGCATTAAACAAATCGTGAACACGAAAGGAAATCAAAGTGCGCACTCCCGATTTTCCACCACACAATATGCTGGGCTCCAGCAGCTTACACTTTGGATAAACCTTGGCTCTATTACCATGCACTGCTAAGGTGGCGACGCCAGCTCAAGTAAGCGAGTTGTAACAAGGTGAAAACAAAAATAAATAAAAAATCTTATAAAACTACAATTAGTGTATTGTCTGTTTAAAAATTGTACTCGCAAGCACAATACTTCTCTTTTTACTCAATTTATTTATTTATACAGTGCCTTTCTTTACAGATAAAAGTGCTTCTAATATTAATATGTTATTACCGGAAGAACAAGACCTCTAAGGGTCAGTTCGCCGGTCATTGCTGTGTCAGAGCGTACACATCTTCCTGTAAAGATAGATACCAACACTGTCACAATTGTTACACCAGCTGATGGTCCATCTTTGCCAACAGCTCCTGCTGGGAAGTGGATGTGGATATCTGTATTTTCCATCAAATCAGTGCCAGGTTTAGTCTCTATACCACACTAGAACAAAATAACATGATGTAGATTAGATATACAGTCTGCAAAATATCTCAAAACACCATAAAAAATGTATTAAAACACAAAAAATATACATTTAAACAAATAAAATTTGCAATCAACTTTCATTAACAGATGGAAACAATAGTTTCTGCTGGTTCTCAAACAACAACAAAATAACAACCCAAAAGTGTCTGTATTTATCCACAACCCACTTCCAAGACGTGGAGGTAGGGCTGATTAATAAGACATTAAACTGTTGATCTATAGTGAAAAAAAAAATTTGGATTTTTAGACAATTTTTTGAGCTCCCATATTATATAGTTTATTTACTCAATACTGGCCTGTGCGACAACTTAACCATTTCGCCACGACATGCCTCATATTGTTTTGCCTCATAAAATAGAATTTCTTTAACCTAGAAGAGAAAAAAAATTACAACAAACTATCTGACCTGTACAGCATGACTTCTGACCCAATTCAAGGCCAGGCTAGCAGATTCCTTCATGACATCACCAAGCTGACCAGTCAATGTCAGTCTCCCTTCTCCATCCATCCTAGTTGCCTCAACAAACATTATTTCACCTCCCATTGCAGTCCAAGCTAAGCCTTCATGAAACACAACTGATTTTAAATATGCACTTGTGACTTATTAAAGGTTTATTATGCACGCAATTGCAGCCATAAACTGAATTGTATTGAACTTCCAATCGCACAGCTCCAACCACACTATCAAGTTTTAGGATCTGTTTGCTGGCAGAAAACTAAAGAACTTACCAACAGCAACACCTGGCTGGGACAATCGTTCGGACATCTCACTCTCATAGATTGGTGGCTATGTTAAATATTAAAATGAAAAAAAAAATGTGATTATTATATTTAATACATTTTTTTAAAATGGTAATTGTCAAAACAGCTTTATTAATCAAACAACCTGATTAAAATGTACATACTCCTAGAATGTCTTTCAGCGCAAATTCATCAATTACAATTGGCATGTCTGGTGGATGCGACATCTCCAGCACGTCACTGCCATTCACATTCTCTTGAGTTTCATTCTTTATTTGCAGGAGATCTTTATTCTCTGTACCTTCTTGTGATGTCTTGGATCGGGTTTCTGCAACCTTGACAGCGACAGCACGGCAAATAGCTCCAAGCTTGCGGTCCAACTGTCGAACACCAGCTTCACGTGTGTACTGACTAACTAAAAGAATCAGGATTGCATTTAATGTAATATTAAAAGATAGCAACGATGCAACACCAATTACACCAGTGCACTGTTATGTAACCAGTAGCAGTGCAAGAGGGGTGGTAGATGAATTTAGCCTACTGTCAAAAATGCTGGATACAACTTGTGAGACCAAAACAAATGGGCACCAGTATGGCAACATAATATGCTGGGAAGGTAAACGGATTGATTTGTGTAAAGAGAACACTGGTACTAGCATGGGCATTTATAATGCATTTCTTCCTTGTGGTTATAAAGCACAATTCTGCATTTTTATAAGCGGTTAGACATGGCCTAGGCCGGGCCTAGGCTAGCCTATGTGATGTTCATTGTAATAATACAAAACAAAATCACATCAATTTAAAATCTAATTTGTAAACATACTTGCCTTATATCTTAACTAGCAGGTGATTCTATTGGTAGATTAGTTTGTTTTTAAGTGTGTAAGTAAGATTGATTTGCATGCCAAGTGAAATTAGTACCCTTATTTTGATTTGTTTTACCGTACTGTAATTCTCGGCTAGGCTTAGCTGTATGCCTAGCCGATACGCAGTGTGGCTAAGGAAAGTTTTGTTTTTCTGAGCATGTGCAGATTGTGCTTATCTGCCTAATTAGCATAACAATACCACACATAAGGCTAATTCAAGTTAGACAGCTTAAACCAGCCAGCCTCCTATCCTGGTAACAGTTAAAAGGCCTTGCTCAGACCAGTAAGGTCAGAGCTCATATTCAAAGTTTATGCTTTGCCTTTACCATAGTATATTAAACAAATAATTCTGGCCCCCAACTCTGGACCAGCTTTGCACCACCCAGCATATAAAACAAATAATACTTACTAGTTTGCTTGACAGTATCCTCAGGAATCTGTATCTGCTCAGCAGTCAGTCCATGTTCTTTCAGCTGCTTGCTAATCAAATGATGCATAGCAATTTTGATCTTCTCTTCTTGAGTGTACCCTGGAACATGGATGACCTCCATGCGATCCAACAAAGGGGCAGGGATTGTAGATACACTATTGGCAGTTGCAATAAACAATACCTGTGACAGGTCAAAGGGTACATTTAAGTAAATGTGATAGCTGTTCAGGAAAATTATTTTATTTGATTACCATCATTACTGTTTATAAGTATTAATTATATATTGAGTATTATAATATTAATATCAATTATTATTAATATAAAATGAATACTAATAAAATTATGAATACAGTAATTATTGCTAGAAATATAATTATTAATAATTATCATTTTTATCAACATTAATATTGGCTATGTTCACACGCACACACACCAGCTGTTAGCACGATCTAGATTAATAACTACGCGCTCACCATTGTATTCATACAGAAAATCCCTAATCCACGATATCAAGAAGACGACAATGGGATCACTAGACAATAGGAAATCGAAATTGGAAATGTGTATGCCTGATTGGTTAAAGATAGAAATGAGGTCTACTTGCTGATAGAGCTTGCTAACTTTTAGTGTATCCACTTCCTGGTAATGGTCAGCTAACGGTTAGCTTCCAATCTGGATATTAAAGCTCTAGTGTGAACTTAACCATAACAATTAAAAGGATACTGGTCAGTGAAGCTGTTATTTTGTTCTGGGTCCAAGACTTCCAAAAGTGCCGAGCCTGGATCTCCTTGCAAACTCTTACCCTGCAAAATGAACATTAGTTTTCTTAAAACAGAAGCAAGTGTTTGCATTACACCTACATCACACATCCTAATATATGCCAAAAAAGATGTTTTTATATTTTGCTTCTCACCAATTTATCAATTTCATCAAGAAGAAAAACAGGATTGTTGGTGCCAACGACCTTGAGTCCATGGATGATGCGGCCTGGCATCGAACCGATGTAGGTTCTGCGATGGCCTCGAATATCAGACTGATCACAACAACCACCAAGTGATATCCTAGATCAGAGAACATTTATTAATTCAATTCAAATATAAGGTTTAATATTACTGGTATTTGAATCTTGGAAGAAAAGATTTAAATACATATTATTACATTATCACACAAAATCTAATAGTAAATTTCAGGGGCCTAATTAGACTGATTTACCTATGAAATGTTCGACCAAGAGTTTGGGCGATTGATCTCCCGACACTGGTTTTGCCGACTCCAGGTGGTCCGATGAAGCACAAGATGGGGCCTTTGAGTGTGTTCTTGAGTTGACGGACAGCCAAATACTCAATAACGCGTTTCTTCAACTTCTCTAAACCATAATGGTCTTGATCAAGGTCGTGCCTATAAATGAGAAGCAGGATTAATTATTATTAATTATCGTTAGATATTTCAGCCCAACTCACAAGGATGGCATAAGGAGGCCTACGTAGCCTAGAGCTTTTATGCCAACTTTCTATGAAATACATTTTATACTTGATTTATTATAGAGAAAATGATTTGAGATGCAACAGAGTAAGACTTCCATTCCATCTATCTGAAGCTTATAACCATGTGAATGAGAATCACAGATCTTGTGCACTTTAGAACACTAGTACACTTTAGAACACTAGTACCTTAAAAAATGACATGGCATTTAACCAGTTGTAGGCCTCATGGCAACTTTGTACTGATTCCATTTATAAATTATATTAAATTCCACTATACATTGACTCCGTGCCCTGTTGTCTTTAATATGAACATTTGAAAATGAAACTAATACCGATTTACACTGCAAGCAAAATTCCGGACACAACCAGGGATTTTCAAATACCCGAGCTAGAAACTCCCGAGTCGTAGTTAGTGTAAACAGCAATAAATACCAACCGGTTTGCCAAACATCCCTGGTTCGCTGTGCGGGATGCATTCAGAGTTGCCAGTGTAAACCAACACTGCATTCAATTCTGGAGTATAGGCCTTACCTGGCGCCTACAGCAGTGGTGGTCAGGTAGGTCTAAACTTTGCTAGCAACGGGCTAGGCCAAGACACTTTTCAAATTAAACCTCCTGCGCTTCTGTATAAACTTGATAACAAAACTGCTGATTTAATTTGCGCAATGTAAACAAAATCTGCATATACACTGCTTCTATATTGACAATAATTTTGGCTTCTTCACGACTCGAGAATTCAAAGTGATGATCACCATCGCAACAAAAATTGAGGGCTGTATTTGAACATTTGTTGCCAGTGTAAAATGGGTGCAACTCAGGATAAACGTAGACTTTTTTGTTTGATGTATGGTAATGCATCCAGTATCATTCCGAAATTAACGTAGGTTTATTCGGAAGGGGTATCAGAAGTCTTGAGGCTGCACCTAGTAACGAAATATCATTTATAATTTTCTCAAATTTAAGATGGGAGATGACTTTGTAAAGTGCCTGCATCCTTAGTCGGTGGCACTGGTAGTGGCTCATACTGAGTAATACTATTTATACCAACATGTTGACAACCTAAATTAGAAATTGACGACTGAAAAAACCATCATCAGCATACCTTGCCTTACTTATATCCAGGACATCTCTACTGTTCTTTGACCATGGAAGCTCTAGCATTAGCTCCAGATAGTTCCTTGTAATGGCATATTCAGGAAGAGCTGTAGGCATCTTCTTCAGACGTTTTAGCTCCTTCTTGGCAGCCTTTAAGGCATGTTCAGGCAAAGAAGCTGATCTACAACCAAACGGATTCTTACAAATTAACTGAATGAATTATAAGTGAATAATTTGTTTCTGTACTGTGATATTTCAACCAGTTCACAATAAATGCTCTTTAGACTATGACTGATTTCCTAATTGGTGTTAAAGGTGCAAGTATGCTACCCTCTACCAGATGATTTAGAGATAGTTTAGTTCAGTAAATAAATTTAACTAATGGTTTGGTTGAACATATTGAAAATGTATAGGCATCTCTTTTCTAATCATGTTTGTATCACACATATATTTCAATAAAGCTTTTAGAATTTGTCTTTTTTTTTGTCTATAGAGAGATCAGAGTACCCTTTAAGGTCAAGGATATGATTGAATCTAACCATGGAATCAGCAACCAGCCTACTTGTGATGCAGACCTGATGCCATAGTAAGAGAAGCCTGTGCATAACTGGTGATTTATTCCCCTTTAATCTTTAAAAATAGAAACATCAACTAATAACAATTAGTAATAAAATATTTTTATCAAAGGCTGTTTTAAACAAGTCTGCCTCTTTCCCCAATGTAGACCAAGACACAATTTAGACATCCGGATTCAATATTGGATTTTAGTATTTTTAAAGATTAAAATTTTGATCCAATTTTGGTTTCTTATTAGGAACCTTTTCACTTTTAGGAATTAAAATTTGCAAATGCATTCATGATGGAAAATAATTATTTATCAAATTTCATTTAAATAACTACGGCTGAAATCAAATTTGTGCTGTTTTCTTACTTTATTTTTTCTTCTAATTCAGAAATTTCATCCACTTCACCCTCGTCATTTATACTTTTCTGGTATTTGCGTAGCTCTTTTTTGAAGTCCATCACCCTGATATTTTTCTTGTGATCCTCAGTGTCCAGCTTGCCCTGCTTGCCTTTTTTAGCCTGTTGAAGAAGTTTCAGACCCTCGATCTGTCGCATCAGTAATGGCAATGTCTCGCGGAAGCGTGCTTCAATATCAACGGCATCCAGAACCTGAAGAATTAGATTAATGAATTTTTTTTTAAAAGTATTCACAATTTTCTATACATCTACAACTTTAAACACATTTATTACATAGATTGTTTGATTAGACAATAACAAATATTTTGAATCCACAATATTTCAAAATCCAGGTTAGTTCAGTTTTTGTTTTACTATAGGCCACGGTTGGAAGGCAGAATGGATTTCTGATTTAACACTGAGGGCTCCACCGAAACTTCGACATTTCAGAAAAACCTTATTGAACTGCTTTTTGATAATGCTTTATGCTGATTTAAAATTACCTTTTACAGATGATGGAACAAGGGATTTTTTTAGCTTAAAAATCATAGGCAGGCAGCACATATAGGGTTGTCACAGGCCGCTAAAGTAATACTGTCGGGCCACATGTGGCCTACAGGCTGCACTTTGCCCACCTGAGTTTATTACAAACAATTACTCACCCCACGCGTACCGGTGAGGAAAATGTTTTCCCGGTATTGCTGGTTTGATATTATGTTTGGATGAGCCTATTAATGTTTTCAAATAAAGTTGGATGAAAATTTGACAAACCTTTATTTTTTCATTGTAAGAAGCTTTAATGATAGCTGTAAAGATGTCTGGAAGTCTTGTCACTGGTAGGCTATCCAACAGCCGCTAAATAATTTCAAAATATAAAAAAATAATTACTGTTATTCCCGCTTCAGGTATAAGCCCACCCCATATATTATGCCCAATTCTACGTACAAGCCTTTCCCTAGGCAAAGCTCATGAACTGAGTAGCTTAGCTGTCTTTCACAAAAAATCTCTCTAAAAAAAAAAAACATTTTAGGCATACGATCCTGAAAAATTGCTTTTTAATTGAAAAGGAGATTCCTTGGTTATAAACTCACTTGTGTGTGGGCAGACAAAAGCTGTGGGAGATAGGAACCTTGTTCCTTCTGACCCCCTCCCCTTCCTCTTACATTTTGTATGATTTTGTACATTTGATATTATTACCTTCAATTTCCTAACTACAGGCATTGTGACATCCAGAAGCTCAATTAATGCGTTAGCTTGCTCACGGAACACATCAGCAACATCACCAAGTTCAGCTGAATCAGAATCTACAGTCAATAAAAATTGAAATGGCTACAGTAGTCACTTAAAAATAATATAAATTGTAATTAATCAATCAATTTGATTCTGGGGATAATGCCATGGGTAGGACAAGTTATCTACAAAATTTTGACCACACAGGGTAGTATGGATACCTGGTATAAGATACATGGATGATTTGGAAATATATTAAATTGCAAGTGCTGAAATAGCTGCACAAGAATATGTATAGTAAAGGAGGTTCCATGTACTGTGTTATTGATTCTTTAATGATAAAAGGGAGTTTATACTAAAATGCTAGTGCATAAATTACCATGAAATAAGAATAATATAAACTTGTACTGTATTGAGATAAATATAACACTAAACATACCAACATCCTCTCCAGGAAGTTTATCTAGTTGATTTACCACTGCAACAGGATAAGGTGATTCTTGCACGATGCTATCCAATCCAAACCGACACAAACCAGTAACAAGTAGACTGTAAGCTGGTTTTGGCCAGTTTGTACCGGTTACCTGGACAACAACTGCAGCAGTGCCAATTGGATGTAATGAAGACAAATCATCCTTCTATATGAAAGAAGTGAATTGATGGAAAAAATTAGTTTCTATTTAAAAAGGAAGATATGTATTAAAAAAAAACTATAAAAGAATATATCTTAATAATAATTACTAATAATTATTGACTGGTTACTATGGTTATATAAGTATTGATTTTTATAGGAGGTTGTCATTTTCACTAAAAGGCAGATGGATTTGTCAATATTTATATTGATTAAAATCTGTGCACTGGGCTCACCATTAATTCTGGGTCTTTTGGTACAACTCCAATGATGGTGCTGCTTAGAGTATTGTGCCTTAATATTCGACTTTTCACCATATTCATGCTGTAATAAAGAGATGTACAGTATTATGCTGTAAAATTAATAAGTTACTTTTTCATTTTAAACATCTTAACATTTGAATAAAACTTGCAAATATACAAAAAATTGATAAACAAAACATTAAAAAGCAACATTTTCAAGGTCATTGATCTGTGCTGACAGTCATTTACTAACATTTACAAATACAGTCAGTTGCAATTACAATAAAGTTGAAATTCAATTATAGTTACGATTACAATCGTAATTAAAATTTGCTTTTTTCACTACAAAACCCCATATTGAACACACTGAAAACAGCCTGAATTCATAATGCAACACGCACAAGTTAATAATTGATATAGCGCTGGTTAGGAGCCATATGGTGGGATGTACAGTATTTGAAGTTCTGTGGAAAAGCAAGTAAACGTGTTGACCTCTTTCTTGGCGTGTAGTAATTGCACAGCGAAGTATTGCATCTATGTAGTACTTAATTAAGCTGCTGAATGTTACGTAATACTGTATGCGCGTAATGATCTTCCTTGTCTGGGTATATAGTGGTCTTCACATGGTTGCTGGCTGTTGAACACTTCTATCATTACTGTGCGGTTTGCCGGTTTGGCAACGTAAGCTTAATAGAATAAGTTTACAGGTATGTTAATAAATTGTTATATTGAACATCGTATTTTGCTAATAGTAACACTATACATTGCAATATCTTTAATGATGTTTGATAATAGATTTATTTATAATTGATTCAAGTATTTGTATTAGGTAGGTATTTCTTGAGTTTGCAACCGAGAAATGTTGTTGTTTGTGATGGCATAGTGGATGATAGGTATGCATGCCGCAATGGTACAGTTGTGTCTGAATGCTGTAGAGTGTATTATTGGACTTGTTTTACATTTAAATATTATTGTTATCTTTTCATCGTTAAACAATTATAATAGTTCATTCTTAGATTGAATACGATGGTTGTGTTCCTCCAAAGTTAGCTTTTGTTTACCTCCAGGTATGCACAGTGTTATGCAACTATGCATTGATATTGTAATGGTTAGGTAATATTGTTAAATGATTAATAGGTAATAGATAGTATTGTGTAGTAATGCTGTACATGAGTATATTGATATGGTTGCAAATGTATTATACAATTAATGATTTATAAAGACTGTAATTCTACTGTTTTACAGGGTTTTTTGTTTTGTCGATGTGAACATATCGACATGTGGTAATGGTGAATGTATATATACTCTAAATTGACGATTAAAAGAACCTGGAACGTTTATGGTGGTTGTTGTTTTGTTTGTTTGTTGTCAACCTAATAAACTACCAGAATTCAAACATTGAATAATTACTTGAAAGCAACAAATCTTTCAAAACCTTAGTTATACAGAGCATATGTTTTGGATAATTTTTTTTTAAATTCGCATATTCACACCGGCCCTACTAAGCCCCACACAGACCACAAAACACCACACAGGACCACACGGATGAAAAAATGATTAAAATATTACCACACGACGAGAGTATAAAACGTCTTGATAATCAATAAACGTCTTGGTAATCAATAAACGTCTACTATTAGTAGTATTAGTAAGCCTAGCCACCTAACTAGCCTAGGCTAGGTAGGCCTGGGCCTAGCTGTAGGCAAGTAGTAGAGAGAGCGGCCAAGGGTGCCTCTAGCTAGGCCTAGCCTAGTAGGCTAGGCTAGGCATTGGTCTGACATTACATACTTGCGTGGAGTATTAACTGGAATGCGCATCGATGCTCCAGGAAGTAAAATTCCACCTGATACTACAAGCAAAGGAAGACGGTGGGGAATCGAAATGTTTGAAGCCATATTGAGCTAGCCCAGTTCAGTGCGAAATCGCAAAAACACCTAGGCCTCCTAGGCCTCGCTTCTCTTGCTCTTGCAAAAAATCAACAGTAGACTACTGAGGGCGGGGTCTGGGTTTCAGTTAGGCAGATTGATTAAATAGTCCTTGGAGTGATGGAGACATGGAGATATAAAAGAAAAAAAATAGCAATTGGATAACTGTATGCAAAACAACCTACCAGCCCACAGAAAGGTAGCTCTTCCATTTAAGCCTACAACCCAAAATTCCAACACTCTCCTCTTAAATCATAAAAACGAAAGCAAAATGAAAAGAAAGTGAATATGCTGGGCCTGAGGTGTAAAAAATTTAGGAAATAGTCAAGATGACCGGAAATGACACTTTTATATATAGTAAAATTCATCGTCATCACATATGAAAACTAAAATGAAACGCCAACAAAATTCTCATGATGTTTTACGAGCGATTTTCGGCAACCACAGATATTTTTGTGTGATGTACTATAGAAATAAACATTAAAAACATTGTCTTTGATGTATTTAATTTAGGCCTACGTACTTCGTCCACACAATAGTTAAGGGGTGAGGTGGGAACATTTGGGGAAATAGTAGCTCTAGATTGCGGGAAATGACACTCCATAATAAAATCCCATTTTTTGGAGGTAAAAAAAGAGGAAAAAAAGAAAAAAAAAATATCCCAGAACGCCGTGGTGACGTCGGTAGGGTCAATTTTCGTCGGAAGGTATCAAGATGATAAACAGTTTCATTGGACTACTAAATTCTTGCTTATGTTAACCGCATGCTTACCAAAGATTATACTGACTGGTTTCAAACCACGGTCAAGTAGTAACCAGACTTCAACATGCCCTCACAATGTCACCGGGGACGCAACTGCCAAAAAACTATTTTTGGCACCGAAGGGACGCTACCAATTAAAAATCAACAAACTACTAGGTTTCTGGGTTGATTGCAAGGTGCTACATGGCTCAACTATTTTTTACTTAGGGATTAATTGGTAAAAATCGCACACAAATCATACGACGTCACTGACAACGCTTGGGACGGCAACTAGATTTTGAGATTAATTTTCCGAATAAAGTTATACTAAATAAATTCTAATGACGAACTGTTGTCTTCAGTTGTCTTTGTTGGTCATTCAACTATCATTTTATCTATTTTTTCGGTGATATTACCATTCTCAATAATCTATAAAAACACCCATATAACAGCGTCACGCTAGATCGATCGGTGGGGACGATAGGATCAATTTTCGTGGGAAGGTATCAAGATATGATAAACAGTTTCATTGGACTAAACGCCTCAAATGTTATTTTTGGGCGTCTAGAACACAAAAAGTTCCCAGGGGATGCCCCCGGACACCCTAGGACAGTGTTGTCTCGGTCGGCCCAACTTTCGCCCCTATGACGTCTTTGGATCCGCCCCTGAAATATGTTTTTAACTAATATCAGGGCTACGATGATTATGAATTATTCATTTGTTATATTTTCCACAGACACAAAAATAAATGCCTGAACTGATATTTTATGAGTTTCATATTACACTAAAATGTGTTTTCCAGCGACAGAAGAAAGTAGCTCTCTTCTCATGACCCCGCCTACCATGACAACCCATCTGTGTTATTCAGGGCGAGTAAACTCTGGATCCGCGCTTTTGATGTATTGATGATAAGAGAAATGCTTAATAAAATGTATATTTACGGTACCGGTATATATATTTATAGAAAATAATGTTGCATACTAGAACTATCAGAAATAAATATATAGATAAAGGCATGTTTTTTTTTTTTCTTGTCAGTTGACTAGGTAATTTAGTGAAGAAAATGAATGCAATTGCAGTCTGATTTTCTGCAAAAGCTCAAAAAAGAGGAGTAGGTTGAGTCTAAAAATACAGGTGGAATTTACACTTTGTTTTTTATAAGAACACATTTTATAAGAACACTGAGGCTGAAATTGCTAAAAAATTAAAAAACAACTTAAGGCTGAGGTAAAATGTCAAATGAGGTTTTCTATTAATTATTTTTTAAAATAGAAAAACCCAAACATTTTTATCTGCACCTTATTTGCAGAAGTTGTGACACTGTAATACTGTACCCAATACAATACAATAAAGGTGTACCTGTCATTTGGGGCCATTTTTACCTGGCCTTTTTACCGGGGCCTCTTTTCTGGGGTGTGTCCTGATAAAATGATTGTCCACACTACGTCAGACGCGAAAATTTCAGTATTTTATACCTTTGGAGGTTCAGAAATAGAACTTAAATTACCGTTTAATTCTTTTTAATTTCTATTACGCATTCAGTTAAAAAAAAAAAAAAAAAAAAAAAACTCGACTTAAATCACCATAGGTACCGGAAAATGGCACTTCATTACTTACAATTCTAAAAACTACATATCCAACTAGCTGAGCCCCACCCTGGTAAATATTTCAAAATTGTTTTTAAAGAATAGAGAACTAAACATAATATTCAAATCCTGAGAGTGCCATTTCTGGCCATCTAGAGGGCACGTAATCTTAATTTTCTGACCTCAGCCCCAATCATGGTGGGGCTGAGGTGTCTATCTGTGACTGGCACCCTCTATTTCGAATTTCTGGATCCATCACTTTAAGGACCACCACATCTGAGTGAAGGTCATGGAAATTCCCGGATCCGCGGCTGTTGAAGATCAGATTTGATGCCACTAAATTTTAGTTAAGAATTTAGTAGCTAATATGATCAGAGTATGATGGTAACAGAGACCACTGTTACTTACTACAGTACTAGTATTAATTCTCACGTATTATAATTCATAAGCCTTTGCAAAAATCGGTCATCTACTCTTTCATTTCATTTATTTGTCTGAAAAACATTGAAATTTACAAGAATAGAAACAGCAATGAACAAGCACAAACGAATATGAGACAGGAAATACCTCAAAATTTAACTAAATCACTGTCGAGTGGGGGTCCCTTTACAAAAAACAAATCCTTACAATATAAAATTTTGCTTATTGATGAAACATTCATAAGTTAAAAATTTAAAAAAATCTAGTAAAACGTAACTTTTAAGTTTGGCATTTAAAATATTAGAATTTTCTAATGACTGAATAAAATTTATTTCTTAAAAATTCAAATTTAAAATTCGGAGATATTCGCTACATTTTTTAGGTCGGTTAACAGAGAACTCTCAGGAAATTGGAACATGCATCCAACCTCTACGGCCAGTTGCGTCGAGAGCCAGTAAGGGCCCCGGGGCAACACCTCACATGGCCCATCCCCCCCTTCACTTGGGACCCCCCACTCGGCCGCTCCCCAAATTAAGTCTCTCCTAATTTTGACAACAAAAGTTTTCATCCTGGCTTGGGCTCGGGCCCTATGGAGATTTGTTCTTACCCCGAAAATTGTTCATCTTGGTCCGGGGCCCCCAGTATACCCGGAACCCGGGGCAGCGACCCCTGCCCCCCCCCATCTAGACGCCACTGTCTACGGCCAACCCATCTCAAGTGTGTGGAAGTAAAAACAGAAAAATTAATGTACAAGCAAAGGCATGAGATAACCAAGTGCCTTCAGTTAACATTTAGATATTGGAAGATATTGAGCAAAGAGACACTTGGCAACAACTGAGATAGTATGAAGTTTGAGTTGGTCTCCGATTGAGGAAAGACTGACTTGTACATCTCTTTTTCCAGTTCTTTTTCACTCTCTTAATTTAGAGAAATGTGATGCCTCTTCTTCACAGTTCTGTAATCTTTTTGTTCCTAACTTTATCTACAATATTGTTTTCTAGAACATTTATCTTTCTTATAATGATAGGCATCTACATTGGCATAGCATGCTCAGGTTTAATCTTTTGAAGATACTTCATAACTGACCAGTCATTACTGCTGATAGCCTCTATTAACTTGTTTATGAAAAACACGGATAATAATATGTAGGCCTATATCACTGAAACTTTTAGTTTTAACATGGTTATGTTTCCTTTAAATAATTTAAAGTCAGACTCTGGGGAGAAAAATAGTTTGATATTTTGTACAACTGATTTTTCTAAGACACAAAAAGGGTGTTTGATGAAAAAGGTTAATGAAATCAAGATTTTTGAATTTGGGGGGGGGGGGGAGAAGAGGAGGGAAGAGTGCTTTCCCCTTTTTTTAATGCTGTTCATTTTTATTACAGAGACTAATACACTTGTTACATAATTATCTGATTTTAAAAGACCAAAAGAAATACACTGTTAATCATGAACATTATTTATTATATCAGACAATTATATACATACTCAATTAGAAAAATAATTATTTTGTATTGATTTCAATTATTTTTACAACTTTGAATGTTTTGACTGCAATTCTTTAATCCTGCCTTCATCATTTGATGCACCTTGAGTTTTTGACTGCATATCAGCATATATATCCTCCTTCATCACTCTCACCATATCACGGTCCAATGTCCTCCCACCTATACAAATATTCAAAATATTACAAATAAATTATATGTATAAAAATTAATATATTGTAAGTCATATTTATAATTCTTTTTAAATGTTGATGTTTTAGTTAAGGCATAAATATATTTCGTTTGATGTATATTTTTATATTGTATTATATTGTGAATTCAGATAATTTTCAACATTTCTATGTTGCCATCTGAGTGTTTTTTTTATACTAATAAAATAAATGAAATGAAATAAAATAAATATTAATAATTATTATAATTATTGTCTGTAATTTATTTATTTAGTAATTATTGATAATTATTGTTTTACAAAATTGTCAGAATAACTTCTTACAGACAGTTTCAGTGGCGGATCCATCATTTTTTTGCGAGGATGGCACAGGTGGCAGTTGAGGACCTATGGTTTGAAGGCAGCAGAGACTATCTTTTGTTCAACAGAAAGCTGGGGTACAGTATAATTATTACCATTACATATTATGGAGTCCCTTAGGAGTTTAAGCCACTTCAATCTCTTATCTATATGGCTTCACACATGGTTAGTGATTATTTCACTACTGCCTAAGGGGAGGGGGTGGAGAGAGCTCCCCTTTTGCCACCACCTGGATCTGCAACTGATATTGAATTCTTACCAATGCATTTCTCAGCAATTATTTTAGAAGCAGGAAGAAGATCATCGACCTCAGTAATTGCATCAACAATATCAGCCTCCAAACACTGAGGCCCTGTTAGGCGTTTCCCAAATAAAATCACTTCGCGTATTGATTTGTTTGATCTTAATCGGAGTCTAATAAAGAGGGAGAAGAAAGAAAAAACAAATATAAATATAACAGCAGAATTACAATGGTTATAGCATTCATAACCAGATCAGATGTAGATTCTAACAGTGGTATCTAGGAGTACTGAAATGGGAGACTGATGAGGGGGGGAAGAGTTTAATTGGGGGGAGTTAAGTTTAATTGGGGGGGGGGAAGTTTAATTGGGGGGCCTAGATGATTAAGTAATGGGTGCTGGCTGGCAAAATAAGTTGATATAATATGATTTTTAACTACTTGAGCCTAATTTTTTTGTTTTAGAAAATTTCAAATGGAGGAAATGCACCTTCCCAAGGGTAGGGGCATAAGCATTCTTCTTTTTAAGGAGTTAGCGCACACTCAAGAATAAACGCTACTAGCTTCTAAGGAATGAAGAAGAAACTCATCTTTTTTGTCATAAATTTAGTACATACAAGTGCATTAAATAATAGTGGCAAATTTCTGGATCAATCACCGCTCATAAATCATCAAAACCTTAAGCAAGTAAGAACCTCTGCTTACTTGGCTAACTGAATCATGAAAGGTTGGAATCTTAGTTTTAGGTCAATCTCTGGCAGGCATAGCCAGCCTCGATCTCTCCGCATGACACGGTAGTCAAAGGCAAAAGCAAGTAGAGCACCACCAGCAAATGCATGGCCTGTCAAGGTGGAAAGAAAATTGTTATGTACACTAAAATACTTTTCATGTATGCATACTGTTAAAAACATGAAGTTACATTTAATGCAATGTGCACTATGAAATTGGCACAGTATTTTTTTATTAAATTTTCTAAAGAGGGGATTACGTATTCCCCACTGTCTGTCTGTCTGTTAGCCAAGATTACACAATAACTAATGAATAAATCATCATAGAATTTTGTGGAAAATAAAATAGTGGAATACTGCAGTACATAATAATCAAAGAAAGAGATGATTAAATTTTGGAAAAAATATATCAAAGGACAAGGTCCCGAGCATAAAAGAAAATGAGGGATTCACCCATCACATGCAGTCTGCATATTTTTTGGTATTCAGGTACAGTCTGGAGTGACTGCTCTAGTTATTAATTTTATCTTTGCCTTGAAGACTTCTATCTCATCCAAAGATTTTCTTTTGACAGTTCAAATGTCTATCATAAATTCATATACATTCTATGCAAAAATATATAAAAGTACAGTAAATACCATTAACTGCCGCTACGGTTGGCATGGGAAAGTGGCTTATTCGATGTAAGATTTCTTGGTAGAGTTGAATGGCCCCTAGGACATCTTCAGAAGGAGCTTTACTCATCCACTCAAGGTCAAGACCATTGCTGAAATACTTGGTGTTACCTATTGCTATCAATGCTTTTGCTTTTGGGTTACTAAAAGAAATTAAAGAGAATAAAATAATTAGCATGCACATAGAGTATGCCACACTGTAAAGCATTGAATTTTTCGAGTTTATACAAATCGAAAGATATTTACAGGTACTGCGTGAATAAGAACAATAAGAACTTATTCACAGTGTAACTTCCAAGAAAAATACCATGCGGTTATTAATACAATACCGTGCAAATCATGTAGCAATTATGTACGGTACAGTACACTATTTTTCGTAAGTACGAAGTAAATAAGAACAATCAGTTTATTCGTATGATACCATGTGAGTAAGTTCTTATGAGTTTATATGTCAACTTCATTGTGACTGAACTGAACGTTGTATCCTGCCCAAACTGTATAGAAGGGCCTGAGTGAGGAATACAGTATATCCTCCGCGCAAAAATTTGGCCTAGAAATCCGTCTGCGCATTTCAGAAAATAAGGACCAATTTCCTCAGATTTTGCTGAAAATAAGGCTGTGAACTAATCTTAATATAACAAACAATGTATTAATTACTATTATGCAGTAATTCTGATTAATTGCACCTATTTTCCAAGTGATTTCCAAGTAAATTTGAGCTGGTTTTGGTGGTATCATCAGTGCAACTAAGAAACTTTACAGTATGGTTTTTTGCCATGGATATAACATAGTCCTTGGCATGATTTTTACTGGGAAATTGGCCCTATTTTCAGAATGTGCAGACAACTTTATAGGCCATTCTGTTATGTCTGGATCATATTTGGGCAAAATATCATCACAAAAATTGGCATTTCATCAGCTAACAGTGAAAAAATGAAACAATGGTAGCAAGTTGCGAAATTATGGATGTCGGTTAATAATGTACACAGCAAGCTGTACTGTATTGAATTGCACTATTGAAGTCACCATATTCACAGGCTCATTGCAACGAGACATATTGGCCAAATCTTCCTTATACACAATACTAACTAAAATAGGATGGACCTGAAACTATGGCAGGCACCGGAATGAAGACAAAAAAAGTTGACAATTCAGATTAGGCCCTAGGCCTATATGCCAGGCCTAGTAGCTAGCTTAGGCATAGCCTAGTCTATTTATTTAGTCCAGGCCTAGGCTAGGCCTACTACTACTAGGCCTAGGCCCCTAGGGCCTAGTACTACTACTACTACTAGCTAATTGATTCAAAAGACCAAATTAAGCTTAACAGGGGGTGGCACCAGTATTTGTCTGGCAGGGATAGTTGTCCGGTGTCCCTCAATAAGGAAAAGTGGGTGTGGTCGACCGTTGCTCAAAATCTGGTCCTTGTCAGGAGGGCTATCTAAGCTAAACCAGGCCTAGGCCTAGGTCCTCCAGGCCAGGCCGAAAAGTGTTTGCAGCCATGACGAACACTCGACTCATTTTGTGACCAGCTTCAAGAAAATTCCTTACTGCACTTACCGTAAAACGGAATCTAGACAATTCAATATTGCATTGCATGAGCATTTATTAAACCTATTTTCACCATAATTCATACGCAGAATCGCAAAATCATTTTCAAATGTAATGCTAAAGCATTTATTTACATCCGACTGAGACAACATTACGATCGCTATCTACGTACCTGACTGCAACTTTAGCTGCATATTATGCAGCGCTTGAGCTCTCCTTTTTTTTAACGGACCTGCGCATTTTTTTGACAGAAGAGCAAACAGTCATAGAGGGCGGTACACACAATTTTACTTCGAGAATCGAAACCCCGGCTGTTTCGATGGCGACGTCAAGCTTTAAGCAGTTTAAGTGAGGTCAATGATGTTATTTTTCAACATGAAGCAATACGAAAGATAAAGTAATAACGAATATAAGTTAGTATAGGAATGGGCGCTAATGCACTTTAGTACTCCACCCTCCATAGAATGGAAG